CTCTTCTTTTCATAATGCTACTAAAAGTCTTATTTCACATTCACTTTCATACTGCATATTCCGATTGCCTTACTGAAGATGTGGGTTAAACAGAAAAGTCCACGGAAGTCATAAGTGGGGATGTCCAGGACAAGAGCAGCAGGTAACATCACATAAACAATTGGACACTCAATCTGAAATGCCTAACTTACATTTGAGAACAAATGTCTAAGAAATAAACCCTAGAACGTTCCAGTAGATATGCAATGTCCTTATTTTTGTAACTCCCACTCATTCTTACTCTCTCTCTCTACATACAAAATCTCAACTCTTTTCTCCACAAAGGACTGCTTTTGGCTTTAGAGAAAGTTTATGTGCAATATGGGCCCATACATGACTTAAGCCTTGCCCACTGGTAATCTACCTTAGAACATAAAATGGCAAAGTCTCAAGTCCCATGTAGTTCTACATTACAGCAAATTCCATGCCAAAGAAGGCTGGGTTGTCATGGTTCTAATTAAATTAGCCCAAAATAAAACCAAATTAACACGAGATGGCATACTTTAGTTATTGATATGCTAAAGCAGACATCAGGAAGTCTAGTATTCAAGGTTCCAAGTATCAACTTCCTAATTAAGAGCAAGGCACTGAATGCAGTCTCAACTACATTTCCCCATCAGTAAAAGAATGATTATCACTGTGAGAAAGATGAAGGCACAGAGGATAATGCTTATGGTTTAAAAGACAGAAAAAAATTACATTTTTCTTTTTAAGTCTTTGTAAACATACCAAATAAATCAATAAGTTATACCTATATAATTTAGTTCCTTTAAGTTAGTTATGTTCTATTTATCTGTAAATATTACAAGTATATTTCAATTTTCCTCACTGCCCCCACCTTGAGCAATATTTTAACAAATACTGTCTTAAAACTTAACATGAAAGATGCTATTTCAATGGAAAAATTTTCTACTACGCAAGTTTCTTCTGTAAGAAAAGCAGAGCCAGGCTAAAGAAAATATAGGTCTCACCAGGATGTCGATCATCAAATGGGTCTGGATCCCCCTTACGATATTCTTCAGTTTCTTTTTCAATCAATTCAGACATCCTAGCACAAGGAAAGACAGGGTCAACTCTAGACAAGCATATAAAAACCACCACCTACAATAGTCAATTCAGCAGTCAAGGTGTAAAATAAAAGCAAACAGTTAGAAAAAGGATATTTTCCTGATGAACATAGAGGTGTAAACAACTATCTCATAAATCGATTTCCACTCCCAAACTTAATCTTCTCTCCCCTTTTCTGTCTCAAAAACTAGCATTATCATCAAAAGCCAAAACCTAGGAGTCATCATTAAAACCTTTTCTCATCTCCCACAATTCCCATTAGCTCTAACTACAAAATATCTCCTGACTTTAATTATTTCTCTCAATCTTGACTATTCCTATCCTTATCCAGACCATCATCATGAACTGGCTGGACTACTAGCAATAGCTTTTCATTGGTCTCCTTACTTCTTGCTTCTGTGCTTGACCTGACAATTCATTCTCCAACTTCCAATGACTTACCACATAATTAAACCCAAGTACTACCATGTCTTACAACAATCTGGATTCTGTCTGCATTTCTAACCACTTCTACTCCTCCAACCCTCTTTCATTAAGTTTCAGTCACATAGCCTTCTCTGCTCTTCAGAGTCCAAGTTCACACCTGCTTCAAGGCCTTACTGTGTGCTATTGCCTTTGCCTGTACCATTCTCTCCCCACCGGAACCCCTCCACTGTCCCCAGACAGCCATTCTTCTTTTTCTCACTACAACTTTATTTTCCATTCCTACCTGACATTCACCCTCCATTCAGGGGCGGAGGGTGGAGGGCATTTCCTCGCTGCTACAAAAACATGCCCCAATTCCTTCTCTCCTCAATGTCTTTTTCTGTCATAGTTTTCACGTTCGTAGAAAACCTTATTTCCCTGCTTTTCACTAAGCTCTATTCTACCATCATTCAAGTCTTTGTTTCAAGGAAACTTTACCTCTTGTACTGGAAAGCCCACTGGAATTGGGAGTTAAAACCCAGGATTCTAACTCAGCTTTCCACTGCCTGGCTGTGCAGTCTTTTCCAGGTAGCTCTGAGGATGGCTTTCTTAACATTGTAATTCTCAGTGATACTTTTATTGACAAATGAAGTTGAGGTTCAGAGATGTGTCTCATAGTTATGACACACAAACGGTCTTCAAATATTGGTTGAATTAAAAAAAACTGACTCATTCAAGTTTTTTCTATTCTCATAACCTCTACAATATTTGAGACATACTGCTAGATTTAGCACTTCATTATATATTATTTTGTGCTATTCTGCACTGTTTCTTATTCATCAGTTGCCTCCAACAAGGTTAGCTCCTTGAACACAGGGCCCTCTATTTTAGGCTTTGCATTGATGAATATCTTAGCAGTGACAAAGATGACAGTCAAATATAATAAACGTGAAATCGCCTTAAAAATAAAACATGAGTATTTTTACTATACGTGCTCAATAAATATTTTTAAGCAATTAAGTAAATCCACCGCTAACATTATGATCCCCATTTAAGACTCTCTTTTCAGTCAATAATCCACATGTTAACTGCACAATACTTAGATTCTTTAATTCACTGTGGCTGTATTTCAAGTATCTAATGACTAGTCCTTAATCTCCAATGCCTCTACAAATGAAAACTCTCTTTGCACCAGTTAGCAATAATTCTGTCCCAAAAAAACAAAACAAAAACTGTTCCCCATGTTTTCAAGAGCAGTTATGAAAAAAAGCATTTATCCCTGTTTAAATGCTCCTAAGATCAGTTCTTTATCCCTAAAGAACAGATCATTACATAAACGAAAAGCTTTTTTCACTATGATATTAAAATTCGATGTTAAAGATTCCCATGTTCCAGTGACCATGTGCCTAGAAGAAACATAAGCATCCCTCCTCCCTGGTCTTTTCTTACTTTCTCTCTTCCTTAATACATTCACTCAATAAAATTACGTCCCACACAATTACTACGTACTAGACAGTGTACGAGTCATTGTATTTAAAGATACCAATAAAAAAGTACAACACTTGCCTTTAAAAAGTTTACAATTTAGTGAGGAGACATGTAGAAACATAACTACAGCACAATGTAGTAAAAGTTAAAATGGGCGTATCATACATGTATGAATGATAGGAGTAGTAAAACCTTTTTCTTTTAAAGGAGTGTCTAAACCTACTCGGGGACATCAAAGTCAGAAAAGGTTTTAAAGACTAGATTCTTGGACCGCTTCTTGAAAAGACTAGAGCTTGCCAGGCAGACAAAGAAAAGGCATTTCAGGCCAAAGAAACAGCAAGCATAAAGGCACACAGACATTAGAAAATCTGGTACTATTCCTTACTGAAGGAGAGCAACACTATGAGGCAGAAAAAGAGTGTAGGGGCCAAATCATAACCAGCCTCACAGACCAGTCCAAAAATTTTACATTTTATTCCATAGGAAAAAGGGAACCAGAGAAGAATCATGAGCAGAGGTATGACAATCACATTTGTGTATGAGAAAGATGAATCTTTCAGAGAGTAAGCTGGAGACAGAGGGATAATGCACACTGCCTAATGGGCCAGTCAAGAAAAGATCGATACCTTATGAGATAGTAGTGGAGATGCTGAAGAGGAAGAAACAGAGCCTCAGGGCTCAGTGACTAAATACACTGAGGAAGATGGTTTTCAAGTTTTTAATTTAAAACCATTTACACCAAGGCAAGGGGTACAGAAGCACAGCTGTGAATGAGGAAGAAAGTAGGATGAAGGCAGTAAGCTCTATTTTGGACATGGTACATTTAAAGTGTCTGTGGAATATCCGGGTAAAGATGTGTAAAACAAACAGCTGAGAAACAGATTTGAAATTTTAAAGAGGGGTCTGAAGTAGAAATAGAGATTTGAAAGTTAACAGAGTGATGTTTTAAACCGTGGGCAGGGATAAAGCTATCTAGGTAGAATATTTAGAGTGAAGAGAGAAGAGAGCCACAAACAAAGCCCTGGGGTCGAAACGCAGGCAGGAGAAAAATCTACGGAGAATGAGGACAAAGGAAAGGCAAGAAATTTAAAAAGCTTCAAGTAGTAGGGAAATAAAGACTAGTTCTAAAAGGGAAAAATATGGATTTCAAATTCACAGTGAAGGCCAAATGTTCCTACATTGTTCTCCAACTTTTCCTTCTGTTAAAACTAATTTTTACAAAAAACTTAATTGTTCGTACCTGGTAAGGATAGGTACCATGTCCTGCCCACTGCCATGTTCCTTTTCCCACTGCTCCAACAGGGTAGTGAGCTCAGCTTTGGAGTCCACATGTACCGCTACTGCAGTCATGGCTTGGCCTAAGGAAGCAAAAACAAACAAACGAAAAAACCCAATAAGTGAAAACAGACAAGTAAACCTGACATACTTGCTACAAAAAGAAAAGTGAGGATGGGAAAGATGAGGGGTGAGCAACACAGGAAATAATTAAAAGCAAGGAAAACTTAACCCTTGGACTCTAATTTGTGGTATAGTGAGAAATCTGGGTTTAGGAGCCTGAATACTCATCAGGTCATGATGATCAAGTGCTGTCACCTCTCTCAACCTATTTACTAAATGTCAAATGAGACAGGAAACCGGACTGAAATTGTGATTCTTAAACTTTCTATGATCAGGAACCTCTACGAGAATCAGACAGAAGGTATGCTCCCTCTCGCCCCCTCAAAAATGCACACACCTATATGCCATACATAGAATAATCCTAGGTCTAGATCTCTGAGGTCCAAAACTTTGAGGCTACATTTTTTAAAATACAAAATGTAGCAAAAACAACTCCGACAAATATTTTTGCTCTTCTAAGTCTTTGGGGAAAAGATCTACAGAAAGATAAACAACACGTTCCTGTTAAGTCTTAACATAGTATCATTACCAACACTAAAGTTGGG